CTTTAATCTGCACACTAGATGTTCTTTACCGGATTCAACAAAACCATCAGGTTGTGTTATGTAGACTTCTTCATACAAATCGCCATTCAAGAATGCAGTCTTGACATCCATCTGGTGAAGATTAAGATCAAGCTGTGCAACTAAAGCCATTACCACTCTAAAAGCATCTTTGGTGGATACCGGAGAGAAGGTTTCTGTGTAATCAATACCTTCTTTCTGGTTGTAGCCTTTAGCTACAAGTCTGGCTTTATATCTATCAATTTCACCCCTAGCTCCTCATTTTGTTTTAAAGACCCACTTGCAACCCACTGGTTTAAACCCCTTTGGTAGCTCTACAAGCTCCCATACGTGATTGCGGTACATAGAGGCAATTTCTTCACTCATAGCCTCCAACCATTCAGAAGAATGTGAGCTAGAAATAGCCTCCTGGTAACACATTGGGTCTAAGCTATCAATAGCATCTGAATCAAATTCCTGCAAATATACCATGTAATCATCTGGAATAGCAGACCTGCGAACCCTTTGGGACCGTCTCGGTTCAACAACCATATCCCTATCACCCTCTAAAGGTGGTTCATCTTGAGCTTCATTCTGATCCACGGCATTATTTCTGTCAACATGAGGAGTTGTCAAGATAGGCATAGGCAAAATACTACTTTCATCATGCAAGGTAATGTGCCTAGGCACAGAGCTCCCACTGTCTAAGGCATCTTCAAAGAAGTAAGCTCGGTCAGATTCAATTACCCTAGTAGTGTGATTTGGACAATAGAATCTGTACCCACGAGATCCGATGCAATAGCCAATAAAGAAACCATCAACAGTTTTAGCATCAAGCTTCATCTGTTGTGGATTGTAAGGTTTTACCTGTGCTTTACAACTCCAAACTCGCATATGTTTCAGCGCAGGAGTCTTTCCAAAATACAACTCATATGGAGTCTCTGGAACTGACTTGCTAGGAACTTGATTCAAAATATAAACAGTAATTTTGAGTGCATCACCCCACAAGAATTCCGGCAGTGAGGAGTGACTGATCATGCTCCTAACCATATCCATGAGAGTACGATTTCGCCTTTCTGCAACCCCATTTTGCTGCGGGGTGCCAGGCATAGTATACTGAGCTTCAATACCATGCTCTTGAAGGTACAAAGCAAATGGCCCAGGGTTCCTACCAGTCTCAGTATATCTCCCATAAAATTCTCCTCCTCTATCAGATCTCACACACTTGATCAACTTGCCAGATTTCAATTCGACTGCTGCTTTAAAGGTCTTGAATGCATTAAGGGACTCGCCCTTTTCACGCAAGAGTTCAATCCATCCATGACGAGAGTAATCATCCGTGAAGGTGATGAAATATCTGAAACCACCCATAGCCGGAGGCGTGATAGGTCCACAGATATCAGTATGGATTAGGTCTAAAGTATTTTCAGACCTCTTTGCCCTTTTGGTCCTAGCTCTAGCAGGGAATTTTCCCTTTATACAGTCAACACAAGTCTCAAAATCTGAGAAATCAAGGTCTCGTAAGACGCCTTGCTTGATCATGCGTTCCAATCTCTCTCTAGAGATATGACCCAAACGACGATGCCATAACATAGAGGAATTATCATTGGGCCTTTGACGTTTATGCCCAATAGCAGCATTGACATGAAGATTAGGAAGTTCAAGTGACCAATCATTCAATCGATATAAACCATATATCAAGGAAGCGACACCAACATTAATGGAATCAAAACAAATGTCAATTTTCCCATTTCCTTAGAAGAATGAATAGCCACAAATATCCAATGCAGAAGTTGAAATTAAATTCCTCTTCGCAGAAGGTACATAAACAACATTGTTCAAATGTAAAACATGACCAGAATTTAAATACAAAGAAATAGTTCCAATGCATTCAACCAATGCCTTACTCCCTGCTATGCCAAAGACTGACCTCTGTGCCTCACTTAGAACCTTCTGGTTTCTTAGCCCCTGTGGAGAATTCACAACATGTACAGTGGCACCAGAATCTAGCCACCATGAGTCAAAGGAAGTTTCAATGGTGTTAGATTCAAAACAAACTAGAGCTAGAGGGGCAGTTTGAAGAGTTGTACCTTCACTTTCTTGTTTGTTCTTCAATTTGAAGCAATTAGGTTTAATGTGACCCGGTTTCTTGCAATAATTGCATAACCCTTTAAAGGGTTTCTTCCTCGACTTCTCACTCTTATCACCATCCTTCTTAAAGGTTGGATTATTAGGCTTTGGGGCATCATGCTTCTTCCCTTTTTCTTATGTGACCCTCCAGATTTGCTGCTAGAGCCATGGGAAACATAGTTTATGGAGTGAGAGGAATTCTTCTTTATAGCTTCCTCTTCTTGAGTGACTATCGATATCATCTGGTCAACAGACCATTCAGCTTCTTGTGAGTTGTATGAAGTCCTCAAGAATGCGTACTCTGATGGCAGTGATTAAAGAACACGGTAAACCAAGGTGCTTTCACCCAAATCAATCCCATATGACTTAAGCTTGTTATAGTAATGAACAAGCTTCAGAATGTGCTCCCTGACACCAGAAACTCCGTCGTATCGAGTATTGTCAAGAAGTGACAGATAGTAGTTCTTTTGAGTCTTGTCAAGCTTCTTGTATTTGTTACCAATAGCTTTCAAGTACTCCACTGCAGTATCATTTTCAGGAATGCTGTCCCTAATTCCCTTTTCAATTGTGTACTTGATGATCGCTAGACAGATCCGGTTGGACTCACTCCATTGTTTATGGAAGGCTATTTCAGAAGCACTGGACTTGGAAGAGAGATCCACAGGCTTGGGCTCTCTCAGAGCTAAATCTTTCTCAGAAATGGTCAGATACATATTGAGAGACTCTTTCCAGTCATCATAATTAGTCCCATTAAGAGCCTTCACAAAGGATAGTTGCGTAAAAGCAGAAACTGAAATCGTAAAACAGAAAATGGGAAATATTAATTATGCGTGCACAACATAATTATAAAACAGAATTCCCAACAAGCGATTATCAATTATGCAACTATAACCATGCACTAAGAGGGCTCATATACCATAAAGATTTAGCTCACACAAAAGTCCATACAAAATAATGCATTAAACATTTCCATACCTATAGGGTACAATAAATATCTAATACATTAAAGGAGTGCTATTAGCCTATTCTCAAAGCCAACCATCAAAATCAAATTAATAATGTCATACCTATGGGGTATGTCCATTATCAATGCTACAAGATCCTGAAGATCATCAATAATTTACAAAGTCACAAACTTTATGACTTTAGGACAAAACAAAATAATTTTAAAGTCCTTAAGGTCTTTTGGGAATTAAGGAACAAATTTAGGACTTGAGTGAAATTTTGAAAGGTTATCAGGGGTAAAGGAGTAATTCTGGAAGAGATTTGGGTCAAAATTGAAATTCTAGAAGTTAAGGGACTGAACTGTGATTTCTAGAAATAAATTGGGGCTAATACATAAATACAAGAAATTATGGGCCCAAATAGGTAATTTAAAACTAGGGCCGAAACGCGATTAACAGAAGTTTTTTTTTTTGAACCAGGTCATCTGGGCCCAAAACACGGAAACCGGATCCCTTTCCTTTGCACCGCCAGCTTCGCCTTTTTTTTTTGGATTTGGGCCCAAACTAAATTGTGGGCCCATAATCCACAGAACCGGATCCCTAGGATCCGGTTCCACGACCCGTTCTGGGTCCTCTCCAGCGCGAGCTGGAAGATGAGGAGGAAGGGGTTGTCGGCGTGCCAACGGTTACCGGACGCCGGCGAACCCGAAGCTGCCAGTTACCACGACGGTGGCAGTTCCACGGTGACGTCGTGAACTTGAAGAGGTGGAGAGAGAACGTCGGCGATGACAGAATCTCCTCCTTTTTTGTTTAAATATATATATAAAGATTGAAGACAAAGTTCTCATATTCAAATCTGAAGAATATGGATCATAAGAAATTTATCAACATGAGCAAGAATCTTTTCAATATATCAAAAAAAAAATATACGTAAAGGGAATTGAGATATATAAATTTAAAAGTCGTTACCAAGGCTCTGATGCCATGTGTTGATCTGTATATCTCAATTCACATGTATATAATAATATGATAGAATAAAGTAATTCATGCGTTCCTGAAGAATCCATGAGTGCTAGAGAAATCTCGATTACCTCGAGTGCAGGCAGGTACACAACCCTCAAGTCCCCAGAGCCTTCAGAGAGTTCAGAGATAATGGAAGTAGAAGAAAATGAGTCGTGTGTTTGTGGTTACCGACTAATCGTCTTATATAGATCAGATCGGTAACCGCCTTATTAAATAATTAAATAATTATAAAATCTATTATCTCTGACTCAGTCAGTTAAGAGATAGGAAATAACTGACAGCTACTGGGTTGTGGGTTGGGCCTCTGCCTATTGGGCTCACTTGTGTGGTCCACCTATCACGGTCCACACAAGATCATAAGGACCAATTTATTGAGCTTATTAATTAATGCTAATTCATAAATAATATTCCAACAATATAAGCACAAACGATTATGTAGTCCATTCATTGGCGCTCTACCGCACCAATGATAACCATCTCTAGATTTCTTTGTTAGCAGTATCCGTCGCTCACCCACTCTGATGAGCAAAAATAACGCCTGAGCAACAGACCCCTCCTCTCTGATTAACTCTACACTGCACTTCGTACTCAATGTTTCGTTGCTTAATTAAGCTTCAGCTGTAGCTAAGCTAACCCGCAAGCACCTTTTATTGCACTTCACTCCATCCATACTCGGTCCTTTCATTTAATGGTCACATTTGCGGGCAAAGGTCCTGTGCTTGGACCGAAAGGGAAAGAGAGAAAGATATGTTGGGAAATCACAAAGTTATTGCAGAATTCAATAACCGTATTAATAGAGCGTTTCCCTCGTAGATGGTCCGCCTCCGCCCCTGTGGTAATGATCGGAACCACCTCCATTGACATTTCTGGGATTCCATTAAACACTGGCAGGCCAACCCGAGAGGGTAACAAGCACCAGCATAGGCCCATCGTTCCAAGATTACACCAAGGCATTAAATTTTAAAACATTGCATGGTCCTTGAACCTTCGGATTTATAGAGAGGTCCTAAATCCTAAATCATTCAGAACCCGGCACACCTAATCCCCAACATTACTCTAAGTGTGGAAACAAATTCACTCGTCCAAGTCTGCATGCAATTTTCTGACGCGGTTGATAAACATTTACACCTTCTTAAATAGACCACTCATTCGCTCATATTTCTAATTGTAGCCCTTCCTTCTCACATCTAAACCCCTTTTGTATTATTCCATCTCATGCCATGGATTTCTATGGAAAAGGATCTCTCCATAGTTTGATGGACAAGGAAAATATGGAACTTCAACCTCAATTTCACCTCAGCGTCCGAACCCATAAAGAGACAAGCAAACATGATGTTCAATTAAGCTCGCCGAGGCCTTCTAACTCTGACGCCACAATGTTCCCAATGATGCCATCCCCTGGCCCTGAATCGCCATGGACGCGTTCCCCGCACCCAGTTTCTCCTCCTCCTCCTTCGCTTCTTTACTATTGCATCGCTTCGCTCCATCGACACGACGGTAATATCTACGCAATCGCAGCTTCAAGGGGCTTAGTCTTTACTGGCTCTGACAGCAACAGAATCCGGGTGTGGAAGCAGCCCGATTGCATGGACAGAGGATACCTCAAAGCTAGCTCTGGCGAAGTCCGATCCATTTTGGCTTATAGTGACATGCTCTTCTCAACCCACAAAGACCGCAAGATTCGAATTTGGAACTTCATGGTTTCTGACACCTTTAAATCCAAAAAGGTCGCCACACTTCCCAGAAAAAACTCGTTTCTTCTGTTCTCCAGAGCAAGCAGCGCCCAGCAACATAAAGACTCCGTTTCTTGCATGGCTTATTACCATTCAGAAGGGCTCTTATACACTGGATCTCATGACAGAACAGTGAAAGCTTGGAGGGTCTCAGATAGAAAATGCGTAGATTCATTTGCGGCACACGAAGATAATGTTAATTCACTGATGGTGAACCAAGACGATGGTTGTCTTTTCAGCTGCTCCTCTGACGGATCGGTGAAATTATGGAGGAGGGTCTACACAGAAGACTCGCACACCCTCACAATGACTCTTAAATTCCAACCTTCCCCTGTCAACACGATGGCATTGAGCACATCCTTTAACCATTGCTTTCTCTACTCGGGGTCTTCGGATGGTATGATTAATTTCTGGAAGAAAGAGAGATTGTGTTATAGATTCAACCATGGAGGGTTTTTACAGGGTCACCGTTTCGCAGTTCTTTGCCTAGCGACGGTGGGGAACTTGATATTCAGTGGATCGGAGGACACAACGATAAGGGTGTGGAGGAGAGAGGAAGGGAGCTGTTACCATGAGTGCTTATCAGTTTTAGATGGACACAGAGGGCCAGTAAGATGTTTAGCAGCCTGCCTTGAGATGGAGAAGGTGGTGACGGGGTTTTTGGTGTACAGTGCGAGTCTGGACCAAACATTTAAGGTGTGGAGGGTGAAGGTTTTGCCTGATGAAAATTTGTGCTTGGAGTGCACTGATCAGCGCGACGCCGGGAAGAAGATTACAGAGTACGATATGAGTCCTGTTTTGTCGCCGTCGTGGGTGGAGAAGAAACTTCGAGATACCTATTTCCAGTGAGATTCCGGAAATCACTTCCCCCGGGTCCCTCACAGTCACAGGTGTTTGTGTACCATTCGCTAGTGCGAACTCCATGGTCAAGTTATGTACTCTATTTCTTAATTCTTAATTAGCCAAATGCTTCAGTAACTCGGCAAGTAAATCATCAATAATATTTTTTTAGATAACAAAATCATCAATAATACTAATTATAGTATAACGTTTTTTTTTAAGAAAAATAGTACGATCGTTTTGTTATATAGGAAATCTGGAATATAGTTTCTTTTTCACTTTATTTATAGTTTTTGAGTTTTTTTTAATTAAATAGTTTGAGAGTTAAGGAAACATAAAATAACAACTTTTTTTGGACAGAACATAGAATATAAAATTAATTGCATGCATTTTTGTTTAAATTTATGATCTCAAAATAAAAAATTATTTCTATTTAAAACTTATTCTGTTTTAAATTAAAATATATTCTTTCTGTTAAATATATTCTTAACTAAGAGTTTTAAAATAAAGGATATTTTGACAAGAAACCAAAATTGAATAAAAGCATATAATGATAACAGTTTATTTTCTAAAAAAATACTTGCAGGAATTTAAACCCTCCGAGGGAATCTTAAATCTTTTCTTCTATAGTTAAATGCATGAATTTATTGGAATTAATTAAAATACTTATCAGCCTAGATTTACCCATAAAAAAGATGTTATATGATGTGCAATTATTTTTAAAAATCAAAATTTGAAAGCCATCATCTCAACTTAACACATGCATTTAATTTGAGGACTACATTACATTGGTGTTCACCACCAACAACACCACACAGGCACACACACATACACACACAAAATTACATGAATACATAAGACAAGCTCATGGTCTAATTAATAATGCACTATGAGAGATGGAGAGCTAGACAAGCTAGGAAATAAATACAGCTAGCTTGCTAGCGGTTTTCTTCATCTCGAGGAAGAAGGGCATGGGATCTGTTGATGAAAAAGGTCTCGTAGATGAAGCCAGCAAAGGCACCCCCAATGAGTGGGCCGACCCAGTAAACCCAATGATCGGCCCAATTGCCGCTGACCAGAGCAGGCCCAAAGGACCTTGCTGGGTTCATAGAAGCGGCGGAGAAGGCCCCTCCGGCCAGGATATTAGCGCCCACAACAAACCCAACCAGGGTGGGCCCATGCCCATCAATGGCTCCCTTTTTCGGATCCACCATCGTTGCATACACGGAGAACAGCAATGAAAATGTTAGGATGACCTCCCATAGCACTCCCTGAGCGTACCCCACTCCACTCGCCAGCGTGTGCACCGGGGTTGGCTGCACATTTATCATTTGGCTTCCCAATCAGGATCATAACTTCCGATTCAATAATTCAATAGATTAAATGGCAAATCATTACCAGTCCGCCGGAGAGGTAGTGAAGAAGATAACAGGCAAGGGCCGATGCGAGTAATTGATCGATCCAATAAAGGATGGAACGGAAGAGGGTGATGTGGCCGCCCACGAGGAGGCCGATCGTCACGGCTGGATTGAGGTGGCCGCCGGAAATGTGGCCAGCCGATATCATGGTGGCGACCACAAGTGCATGTGCCATGGCCACGGCAAACAGCCCTACCAAAGCGTCTGCTCCTAGCTTTTCTAGATGACCAACAAAAAGAAACGAGTAAACTACATATCCATAGATAGTACGCGTCAACTAGTTAAGAAACTATGAAGTACCGGCAGCCATGGCAGAACCGACACCGGCGAAGACAAAGAGGAAGGTGGTAATGAACTCGATGACGAGGGCCTGAAGGCAGTCGGGCTGGGTAGCCTCCCGAGAGGTTCCGAGAGCGATCTTGGGCATGACTGGATGGATAGCGATCAGGGAGCAATAGATAGATAGGTTATGGTGGGTTTGGCATATTACATGCGAGGTTTCCAGTTATATATATGCAAAACAAAGGTACAAATATAAGTAAGGGAGAACTATAACATTTGTCATGTAAAAAAAAAATTAATTACTGTAGGACTAGTTAAAAATTCATTCTCAAACTTACAGTAATTAACTTTTTTATATAAGAATTTAATGTAATTCTCCGTATAAATAATTGCGTCTTACTTTTTCTATTCCAAATTAAATGTCCAATAATCAGATTCCCACATGCCATCACTTATTTGGGAGGAGATTCTTTCCTGGTCTCCTCCCTCAGGTCCCCTCCTGCCCTCACATAGTGGGGGTGCGCACTATGTGAGGGGACGACATGAGGGAGGAGGCCAGCAGAGAGCCCTGACCCAACTTTTCTATTCCATATAATTCGATCGTCATAAAACATGAGGAATTATTGAACCTCACTTGGACGCTTGAGCAACGTGAGCGACAGCTAATTGTACCTGATTAATAATATTTTCAGGGGCATTTGATTTGCCTAGGAAGTTTTCAAACTTCGACTTTGGCAGAAGCTCGTCATGTCTTGGCTTCGGACTATTCCTGGGAAATCATATATTATAATATTAATGAAGCAAATAAATTAGAAAAGTAAACGAGGGAAGGGATTTGAGTTTTCCCTTGTAGGAAAATCACATCACTGTGTTATTGAGGATCCCAAGACCAGTTGACCTTTTGAAAATGGAAGGAAGAGGGTAGGTTTTTGTTGTCTTTTGTTAGAATTATGATGTTGTTTTGGACTAAGAAAAAAGGTTAGGGTGCAGAGGGCCTCTCAATTAAAGCGAACATGGATTTCACTGTGTCTGTATGGGCCCATGCGATGTTCACAGCTTTGTCATTCACCTCACATTGCATGATGACGATGTTGCCGCCCACTTCTCGCTCCTTTTCCATATTCACCAGTCAATCCACCATATTATAATATACCCTACTGTTCCACAAACGGACAATTCGTGAAAAGCAAGCATGCCAAAACCCAAGACATCATATGTCACTGAGACTTCAAGTAACTCCATTCCAAAACTCAATACATTTTACAACGCCCACAACCTTGAACATGAGCGGCTCGATCGTCTCCTTCCAGTTATCATAGCACCTTTTTTTATTTTAATACTTCCAATACGTCTTTACGCAGGTTTTATACGGATCGCATATTAACCAGCATGTGTCAGGAACATAAAGAAAAATAAATGGGGAAAGGATTTGAGTTTTCCTCTATTTTTAAGACGAGTTGAACAGAAGTGGGGAAAAAGAATACCAGTGTGTCTCGCATGTTTCTTACACTGCTTGACTTCCTTCCAACGTTGGAAGGAATAGAAGAGGTAAGCTGATGGAGAAAAAAAAATAATTAACATGAATAAAAAACAAGATAAATAAAAATCACATGTTAGTGATCAACATAAGATCATGAACATGTGACACAACACACATGCCAGTTTCTATCTCTTAGATCAAGGTCTCTGGACAGTTACCAGTGAATTCAGGGGTAACACTGTTAATATCTAATGAGAAACACAGCATTACAGAATGAAGGAACGGCGAACTCTTTCAACTTGGCGGCGGAAGGCTTGTGTTTTCTCAAAATCTAAATATTTCCACATTATTAGTTTCCAGTGATATTTTAAAATTAAAATGGCCTTAAAAGAGCTGCAAATTCTTTACTTTGTTGGTGAAATGACAACGATTGCTGCATTAGTTTCCTGAGATGGTTGAGGACTGAGCCGTTGAGGTCAGTGTTTTGAACCTCAAACCGAATGTCCAACTAAAAAAAATAACTGGTCATGATTTTCAAGGACTAACTAGTTAGATTGATGATTAAATTGATAATATAAAAATTAAATAAAAATAATATTTATCATTATAAAAAATAATATTTATATACACAAATATATAAATAAATATTAATTTGTCAATGGTGCTTGAAATTTCAACATTGAAGGTTAGATTCCTGGACTATTGGACTACTAGAGCTAGAGGAAGAGGTTGGAGGAAAAATAAGAGATTAAGTATGAATCATGGAAGAGAGATTAGAGATTAGAGAAGAGAAGACAGAAAAAAATTAGATATTAGAGAAAAAAATTATAAATCTGAGCGACTTAGCCTAAATTTTTTTTTGTTTTGAATCAAGTTGACCCACCGTAGTTTCAGGGTTAAATCCGATTCTATGAAAACTGCCTGGTTCAATCCAGTCCAAAGGCAAATTTGGTTCAATTAGTTGAACCAAATCATTTTACTTAGCAAGCAACGGTCGAACCATCTTGTCCGGTCCAATTCTCACAACATTGGTTGAGGTAAAAGGTCCAATCACTTTACAATCTTACAATCTACATCTTAGTTTGTTCCCTCCATTTCTATATAAAAAAAATTATACCACATAATTTAAAAAAATTAATTAACCATAATAATTATGTTTGAAAATAAAAAAATAAATTAAAATACCCTATGTTAATCAACATAAGTATGTATTAATTACTTTTTATTATTATAAATTATGAGAGATAATTTAAAAAATGTGTAATAAATGTTTATTGAAATAGATAATTTTATTTATATAAAAAATAAGTAAAAAATGATTGTTTTTTTTTTTAACAAATAGAAAGGGAGAGAGTAACAGTTGTTGTGTCACAATTTTTTAAGTATATATCGATTTTCACGGTGGGATCCGTGTGGGCTGCTTCCACAAAAATGTGGTTTGCATCGCTCTTACCTTGAAAATAAACACGCGGTGGCTGGCAATGATTATAAACAGGGGTAGACTTTGGCCCTCTAATTTTTTAATTTTTTTCGCAAAACATTAAGAGTTATATTTTTTTAATCTTTTAAGATATATTTATATATAATTAATATTAAATATAAGATTTAATTACTTTATTTTTAATAAATGTAAGTTAGTACATGAAAAGTTTAAAAAATCAATATCTAAAAAATATGTTTTCTTTATAAACATTTAATATATTGTGCAATTTGTGTTATGTTTTTTTTTATTTTTTTCTTTTAATATATTTTACAATCTATATTTTTTAAAAGTGGAAGATCAATATCTTAAAAAAATATTGATTCATGGCTCCGCAACAAAATTGAAAATGAATATTTTACTAATTTAATAATAATTTATGTTGAGAAAGTGAAAAGTTTACCACATACATGATAATTGATATATATCATGAAGAATTAATAAGCAAAACTTAAAAAATGAATATGCATATTTATTTTGATTCTATATTTGTAAAATTAAATATGAATATATATGCTGAAATATTTATGTTATGTTAGTGTTATATATATATATATATACTTCAATTACAATATATGCTTTTTGATCATGACCCCCCTAATTAAAAATCCTTACTCCGCCTCTAATTATAGGTTTTATTTGCTGCCCAATTGATTGCTCAAGAAGATGTGGACATTCACTTGATGACTTGAAGTCATTGAGAAGGAGAAAAATAGAATAAGCTCAAAAACCATATTGACTAGGTTAGTTTGGCACGGCAATTCAACATATACTTGATCCCCTCAATCCATATCTGTTTGTCATGTTTACTTGCACATTCAAATTCTATTATCCTGTCGGCTGTTTTTAATCCGAAATAAGCTCTCCTCTCAATCCCGTCTTCCCTTTCCCTTTCAGGCCAGGCTGGCATATCACTGCACACTCCAGTGACTATATCTGCCACATTAGGTCCGTACCTTAACCATTGTTGACAGGGAGTGGTAGGAAGATAACAAGTAAGCAGTAGGTTCAAAATTTGCTTACATTTCTTCTTTTTCTTGAACGTTCCTCCCATATGCTTGCTTTTCAATTTGGCTACAACCTGTTGCCATTTTTTCATTCAATAGAAATTTCCAAACTCAAATATTGATTAGAGACGAAGTCACAGTAACAACGAATTTATCACGCTGCTTTATTGCCTGGAGAGGGACTGTCAAAATTTTATGGACAGCTATGTTCCTCTATCTGACGTAAAGTTTAAGAATTTACGCCTATAACTTGTTAATGAACAATTGAACATGTAGAAATATTTGTCACCAATTACCTGCAGATTTGAATTTACAACGAAGGACACTTGCTTCCAGTGAAGATCCCCTGTCACATTTAATAAAAAGAGAGGCTCAAACAAGAATTTGAGTCTTTTGTATATATATCTGGACTTTTTAATTTCAATGTTATTGAGGTTTTCATTGAAAACAAGTAAGTGAGCATACCTTTTCTTGTACGTTTGAGAAGTTCTCCGCCTCTGAAGACGCAGTCTAGTGCTGTTAACATGTTTGCTTCTTTCCCTTCTTCAAACCTTTCCTCCGCTAATGGAAATGTTGAGCTTCCAATCCCCTTTTGCAGCCTTGCTTTTAGAGTAGCAGCTCCTCGTAAGGCTGTAAACAGTGTTTGATTTCATCACAAATTCTCTTCTATATGTTAGTAATTTCAAGTCCATGGCAAAAGAATTCAATGATTGTGAGCTTTAGCCACCCATTTTTACTACGTGTTAATACTTGATTAAGGAAATCTCTTTTTTTTTTCACCTCTCCCTAATGAGTTACCGTGTTATGTTGATCCTAATTAATTCAGTCAATAATGCAGATTAGGCAATCTTCCTGAAGATGTAAAATGCATGATTTATGTTCTACTTGCATCAAAATCAGCGGAAGCTGTTCCTCTTGGTCTTAGATTTGAGTAATTAATGGAAGTTCAGATACCCGTAGCTGCTCCGGCTGTTAAAGTCATTATGTCTCCATTGGTCTTTGCATTAATTGCAGAGTTAACTGCCGTTAAGATTTGACCGTGATCAGCTCCCATATCTTCGGCAATTTCAATACAGTGAGAAGCTACTAAAGCTGCTGCAGATGCAATAGCAGAAGAATTCCTTGGAGGATCTTTGTTGTTGGAAAATGGCATATCAGGTGATGCTGTTGAAGCTGCAACTGCAGCAACCGCAGCAGCCACACCTGCCACAGATACTGCTGCGTGCAATTGAGCATTATGGGTCCTTAATTCCTGCTTTTTCCTCTCCTTCTGATCCTTCAGCCACCTTCCCATAGTCTTCCCTTTTAACAAGCTCCTATAGAGCTGCTGAGCAAAAAATTGCACCAAGAAAAAGAAAAAGAAGAACTACTGATTAACGTTAAGCTGGTATTTGAGAATAACTGATAATGGTGATCACTAGGTTTAATATAACATACCCCATTTCGAAGTAAGTGTTGAGCAGAAAGGAATTCTGGATTGAGTGCCTGATGAAGTAAAAATAACTCCTGCACATAATGGATGGCAAGGCTATTAGTTGGCATGCAATAAAGATAACTGCCGTCAGGGGTAAAACAGAAGGGTGCTCAGTTATGAACAAGATGTTGAGATACTCTAAAGTTATGGATTAAGCAAATTGACTTTTGTGAATTCCCATGGGAATATTGGTGATAATCAAAAGTGTACTTAGTTGATGACAAAAGCAGTTTTTTCGAGAAAGCATTCTAATTCAGAATAGTTTAATGGACTTCATTTCTCTATGCTGTGACCTGAAAGGGCCAAATCATCATGTACAAGATAGTGAGGACTGCATCTTCAAGGTATTGACTGCTTAGAGATAACGTTGGTGTGTTTAAAACACATCCAGCTCCCATATATCAAGATTATCAGTACATAAGGAGAAAGTAACAAAGTATACCTTCATTTCTTCACTTCCTCTTGCTGAAATTGGAGGGCTACACCCATTAGTTAACTGCAAGCGATCATCAGAACAACAGGACAGACAAATAGAATTAAATGCCTGTTCATATATAAGAATATCTCAATCACAATAGATAGCTAGGATATAGCAACATCCTTCCTTATCACCCCCGTTTGTTTATATGCTTGTAAGGCTTAAGCTTGTCAGAAGTGCTTCTGCTTTTTCTCTCTTTTTTACCGTGTGTGTGAGAGAGACATAAGATCCATTGAGAAAACTAAATAACTTTTTTAAGATTTCCGTTTGTCTGCATTGGCAACTCAAAAAGTATTTCTTAGTAGTCTAGTTAAAATTTTCAAAATGGTCCAGATTCTTACAGAATCTTTTGAAGCAGGGGAAGCCTTGGTAGCAGCAGGACAGGAAACTGGAATCTGGACACCAGTAGAAGCCATGATATTGGTATTATTCAGTGCCTTGGATAGCTCCATGGCTGAGAGGCTCCATGATCTGGCCAGAAACTCCATGGATTCAGTTGGAGTTTCAGGAGGGGCACAAGACACTGCTGACCACTCAATAGGACCATTCTCATCTATCTTCTCCAGGCCTTTAACAGAGCATTTAGAGTTGCTTGAGCTCACTGACACCAAAAGGAAGAATAGAAACCGAGTTAAGTGCTGTGTTACATCAAAATAAGGTTTGGTCATAAAAATATTTAGTTCTGTTTGGTCAGCACTTTGCAAAGCATATATTTTCACAGCTTTTTTAGCGCCGGAGGAAGAGGATTCAATGGACAACAGAAGTCTGGATTAACAGGGAGCTCTTCATTTTACCACTTACTTGTCTGTAGTAGTAATTGCTCTCAGGCCTCAGTCACTCAGGAGTTGGAGAAGGAGGGAGAGTACAAAATCTTAGCGAAGTGAGAAAGCAAGATCAAGATGATGACAGGGAGCAACAGTGAGATATTTAACAAGAAAATGTGACGCTATTTTCAAGTTTTATATTTTGGAGAAAAATGAAAACGATGTCATAGAATCTTTTGTGGGGAAGGGAAGGACCCAGTTTAAAGGTCATTAGGTCATTTATTCTTGTCTCCACCTTCAGATGTTGCTTTTAATTCCCACTCTTATGTGCTTTATACATAAAGGAGATAAAGGCCCGGTTTTATGGCAGCGGAGTTCATCATTACTTGCATTCGTGTTTGTCGCCATTGTCACTTCCTAAAGTAAAATCCGGGGTCCCATTATGAGACCACGTTTCTTTCTTTAATTCCGCCCGACTCCTCCTTGTTCTGTGCATTAACATTACACAGAAACTGGCAAGTTAAACAGTTGCCTTGGAGGCTCCATTTGGTTCTAGATGGATTTCCAACTGTAAAGTGAACAATTCTTTTACCCTAGTGGGCAGCTGCAACAAATTTACCATGCCATTATTGTCTCTACTGTTTCCCCGCGTGCCTACTTTTTTCCCCTCCTCTCATCAAGCACACGACAAGGGTTCCCCCAGTACTCCTATTTCTATGCTCTCATCACACACACTTCTTATGTATAAATTTTGCCTTTTCAACTGTGTTCAGTCGGTCCATGGGCAACAATATTGATCTCTTCATCAAATTAACCACTTGTTATCAGAGATAGGGCGGAACTAGGTGTATGTCAAGGGGGCCAAACACCGCCCCCTCCGCCCCCCCCCCCCCCCAATTTTTTTCCTGGGCCGGAACCTTTCCGTCCTTGTGTAAATTGCTAGGGGTTTAGTTGTTTGCCAAAACAAAGTCATTTTTATCAATAACCAAAAAAATAAATAAAAAATTCGAAGTCAAGAAAACGAAAAGTTGCAGTCTAACACAAAGAAAGAAAGAAAGAAAGAAAGAAAAATCACCAAAAATAAAGCCTAAAATAGAACTAAAAAAAAAATCCTGAAAAAACAAACAAACTCAACAGAGCAAAACAACATTGATATCCAATACCACTTCTAATTAGTTTTATACTTTTATTAGAAATTCTACTCCTTTTACCCCGCCATAGTCTCTTCTTTGTTTGTTTGGGTAAAAACTTAACCCTAGTAGACTTGAAGTTAAAGAGTTTACCAAATCATGGTATGATAATAAATGGGAGTAGGTAGAAGAATTGAATGAATAATTTGGCCAAAGTCAGACCAAGTAACATGCTGGGCCTTGTGTTCGGAATTCGGATTATTAATTCCCTCAACCACCCTTTCTTCCAAGGAAGAAATGTCTTTGATGTCAAAATTAGAGAGCAATGTGAGAGTTGAATTAATAGGCATCGGAAAAACTTCTAAATTATCCATCACTGTGTAATTCGTGGCGGCTGTGATCTGCACAGTATCATTATTTTTAGGGAAATCATTGTCGACATAAGTTATATCTTCAGACATTTCATCCCCACATTCTGGACATACAGAGTACTTCACATTCGTCACATAGTGGCAACCATATTCGCACGCATAAAGTCACCTTGGAATCTTCCACTTTTCCTTGTCCTTGTTATCTTGATTATTCAACATGTAATTTGCAGCATCTTTGTTGAAACTCTTGATGCTATTGTAGAATTTTCCGGCGCAACTCACCATGTCGTTGTCGCTTACAATTGATGACACCGGCAAGCGATGTAGGTTGATGAGCATGTTAACGACACCCTTGGATGCATCTGCGAACATAACTGTTTGTTTTCTTGTATCAATGTAAAGCTTCAAGCTCACTTTTGTTGATGTTGATGGTGTTGCCATCTAAAAAATAAATAGAGCAAAATAAAGCAGACATAAAAACCAATAGTTGAATTAAAAGAAAATTTAAGCCACTGAAAAAATCAATCGACTGGATCTATGTACACAAACATTACAAAAATAATAATAGATAGGCAAGTTTTTTCAAATAGCATAGAATTTGAGATAAATTATTGTTCAAGATTTGTGATTAGTGTGTCTCTCTATGGATGATATATATATATTATATATATATTTTGTAAATAAAATTCATTTTTAAAATATTGCATTATTTGTAATTAGTATAGGAAATACAAATAGCTCCAAAGTCCCACCAACAACACAAAATACCCTAAAGTCTTAAGGTCCTTAGATGTAATTAATTTTTATGTACATTTATTAAAATACTTTTTTTAAAAAAAAATGTCCCTCAATATATAACTATTAAATAAATATATTTTCTATCTAATCACAAATTTGTCTAATCACAAAAATATATATATATATCACAAAAATATATATATTTTCTATATTTTCTATAGATAGAAAATATAGAAAATATATATATTTTTAAAAAAAATGTCCCTCAATATTTTTGTGATAGGCAAGCTGTTCCTTGTTTTAGTTTCCCCCCTCCCCCCAAAATTTGGAAATCGCACATCAACTATTATTTTTTAAATTGATATGTTACACACACACACATATTTACATGTGAATATACCAAAATATATTAAAAATGTAATATTTTCATTTATTATTCATATTTATTTTTAAAACTAATATAATTATGTATTTTTCAAGTATTCCTATCTTATAATTTTCAGATTGTAAAATTATTTTGATAAAATCTGTCATGAGTACTACATCGGAGAGCCTCACAAGTGGTGTGGGATTTACAAGTGTGAGGGGCTTTCTCACTCAATAAGCTCATCTTTTGATATGAGTTCTCCCTTTAAGCTTGTGCTTGTCACATTAGTGATTTCATTGAGAGGTTATTATTACAGAAAGGGCTACTCACAGAGGGTTCTAACAAGCAAAAGGCCGAGTGAAGTACTGTGGAGTGAAGCCACTAGAGATATCAGCACTTGACGAGGTGGCATCCCACATAGGAAAGCCTCACAAGTGATGTAGGATTTATAAGTTTAAAGGGTTTGATAATTTTCAATATTTCACTGAATTTTATAGTGTTTTTAATGTAATTGAAAGTTATTTTTTTAAATTTATTAGGAAAAATATGATTAAGTGAATGATTATGTGTGAAAATAGATATGAAAATGTAATTGAAAGTTAGTGGATCAATTTTAGCATTAGTTATGAGTTTTATACATGTAAGGAGGCCTAATTTATAGGCCCAAAGGTAAAAATTTTGAAGCCCAAGTCCAATAAAGTAAATCTAAAAAGGAATTTTGCATAGGTCCTATTTGTTGTAGCGAAACATGATTTTAATAAAACCCACATTTTATCTTCAACGAGTTTTTAGGATTAGATGACCTCATTTTCGAGTATTCCTAACTTACAACAACTGTAAAACATTCAGGGAGAGAAAAAAGAGCCAAAGGAGAGTTGAAGAAACTTGAATTTAGTAAAAAATCAAGGATTTTGCTCAAGATTGCTCTGATTAAGCTTGTCTTGTCCTTCTTCTCTTTACTTTGCTGTATATATTGTTGATTTTTCCTGTTATTAGAGCTATGTGTGGTTGATTTTCTCTTAATTTAGGATAGCTATGAACTGATTCTTGAATTAAAACATGTTTTAATCATTTATTTGAGATTAATATTAGTTTTGTTTATTTAATCTTGTGTTTATTTGTCTACTTGGTGCTTGGCCAACATTGAGTGTAAATTTGGAGGTTCAAGTTTTGCCTTGAAAAAGAAAAATCTGAAATAGATCATTACATTGAGTAATGTGGGATTAGAATTTATCTTAATTTGCTAATAGGATAGGAATATACCTATTGAACCGATATAATCATATTAGAGTGAGTTTATTCCTTTTTGCCTTTTGAGCATTTGTATTAGAAATAGTATATTAATTCAAGAGGGAGTGTAATTAATTGGAAGATAATTATCTTTATTAATATTCTAGATTAACAAATTAATATTAAGTGAATTTATTTAGATAATTACATGCTCTATGAATTGAAGAAGGAATTAGCCACCTTAAGTTGCCTTGACTTTTTGTTGTTATTGGAATTTTAGTTTTAATGCATTTATATTACTTAATTCCTCGTGGGATCAACCTTTACATACCAATATATTACATGTTGACATGTACACTTATAGTAAAATATTTTTGTGTGCATTAGATTTTTGCTTTCACCCAATAAGCTAGTCTTTTAAGATAGCTCTCCTTTTGAGCCTGTACTCATTACATTGGTCCTTTCATTAGGAGGCTCCCCAATGTGGGACTCATGACAATAATATGACAAGCACAAGCCCAAAAGGGGAGCCCGTCTCAAAATACTAACTTAGTAAGAGTGCCCCTAAACCTATAATCCCAACGACTCCCACTCAACAGCACTTTACTCAGCCGCAGCTGGTCAGAACCCTCCGTAGGTAGCCCTTTTTGAGACCACAAGCCTAAAGTAAGTGGCACCACTACCCAACATCACTTGTGAAGTTTCCTGATGTAAAACTCATGACAATGCCACCTCGTCAAGAGTTGACGTCCTTGGAGGCTCCACTCCATGACACTTCACTCAGCTTCCTACCAGTTAGAACCCTCTATAGGTAGCCCTTTTCGTGATATTAGCTTCTCAATGAAAGCAACAATGTGATGGGCACAAGCCTAAAAGGAGAACCCATCCTAAAAACTAGCACCTTGTTAAGAGTCGACATCCCTAGCAGCTTCACTCTATGACACTCTTGCCAGTTAGAACCTTTCGCGGGTGGCCCTTTCCAAGACATTGGCATCTCAATAAAAGCATCAATGTAACAAGCACAACCAAAAGGGAAAGTCTATTCCAAAAGATTAGCCTATTAAGAGGGAAAATTCCTTAAACTTATAAGCCTCATATCACTTATGAGGTTCCCTGATGTAGGATTCGAGATAATGCCACCCCTTCAAAAGTTGACATCTTTAGCAGCTCCACTCCACAACACTTTACTCAACCTCCTGCCAATTAAAACCCTCCATAGGTAGCATTTTCTATAACATTGACCTTTCAATGAAAGCACCAATATGACGAGCACAAGCCTAAAGGGAGAGCCCATCCTAAAAAAACTAACTTGGTATGAGTGTCCCTAAACCTATAATTCTGACGACTCTAGCTCCATGGTACTTCACTTAG